CATATTTCGATTAGACAGAATGCATCCAAGCTGTAGATCGTTGTGAGTTTGTATGTGCGTATGTTACGGTTGCGAGTTCGAGAGCCTAACCACTAGGCCACCGACAAGACACGATGGAATCAGGCGCTCGTCAATGTGGGGCTTGTGTGGAGTTATTGGTGTCATCACAATGTATTTTCCGTCTGCATGAAATTACACTAGATCTAGACCAACTTTGCAGTGACCCTTTTCCAAAATTGCGGAAAATACAGGTTTTTAAAAACTTTTTTCTCTTCTGCTTTTAGATTTTTCTCTTTTATGTTAACGTCTTATGTCAAAATACACAATGTACTCATGGGCCTACTGATCGACTTATTTTTCATATATGGCTGCAAATAGACCGTAATCGTTAAACTATCTTTATCTAGAAAAACTGTTTAGTAAGTCGTGACAATAATGATATTGCACTAAGTGACACCGGTCGAACGTTGGTGCAAAATCCAGGCCTACTATACCAATGTACCAATGTATTCCTTAACATATCCTAAGCCGAAAAAAACCCCAACAACAACGCAAAAACAATTGAAGTCTGAAGTAAACACTTTACAAAGCTGCCTTTGATGAACCGGGCCAGTATCGTGCCCAGTCATGTCGGTGCGATGTAAACAGTTTATACAATATCTACAATGTCAGGAAACAGATAAGGCTGCGAGAAGACAGCATTTGTGAGGCATCGTGGTGAAATCAGGCGCTCGTTAAAATAATACAATTGAAGAAACTGGCATTTTCCCTCCAATTTGGCTATTTTCGTCGAATTTTTTTGTGTAGTTCAACATCTTTATGTCCTTTCAAAAACACATTTCTGCGTGAGCTTTTACTGAAAACCGTTGATTAAAGGCGCAAAAATGTACGATTTCAGTTACCACAAGCTCTCAAGCTATGGAAATAACCAAACTTTGGTGGCCTTTTCTCGCCTATTCAACCTCTGAAGCAAAGCCACCTCAACCTCTTTCTATTGCGGATATCTCGACTTCTACTCCAGATAAATGGGTATATTTTTTCCATCAAAGGCAAGACAAATGGACAGGCTTTAAGATGACACCAATAACTCCACACAAGCCCAACATTGACGAGCGCCTGATTCCACCGTGTCTTGTCACATTTGTTTAAAAGTTCGAATCACTGAGAACACAACACATCGGGTGTCTTCATATGTACTAAAAACAACTTGCAAACAAAAATATTGAATAAAGCCCTCAGTGAAGACTAGGACTAAAGACTAAAGAACCGTTCACAAATTATGACGTCACCTAAAATTTGGCCAAACATGACACCAGAGAGTATTTAATTATATTTTAGTGTCTCTGATGACACCCCCCCCCCCCCCTTGTCATCTTCTGCAATCTATCCATGACCCCCCCCCCCTTTTATAGATCTAGTTGACCTCAACTAAAATGTGCATGCACATTTATATAGATAGAACCTGTACAGAATGCATTTTATATTTACGTCTTTGATCTTTGTTTGGAATTTTAACAATAAAAACTATTGTTTATTAAAGAATACAACAAAGAAATACATGAACTGTCAAATTATTTGTAAACAGCTTTATCCCAAACAAAATAATTAAAACAAACAGACTGGATATCACAGCTTGGAAAATAAATAAAACAAAAAAGATTGGAATATGTATCATCTCAGGTTGGAAAAAAAATTATCAAAAATAAATCGGAAAAAAAATTATCAAAAATAAATCAGAAAAAAAATATACATGTATTATGTGGTCTATAAATTCACAGGTAGCCTAGCGTTAATTGCGACAGAGTGACGCTGTGACAATTAATCTGGCGTTAATTGCGACAGAGTGAGTCTGACAAAAAAGAAGTTAAAAAGAAAAATTAGAAGAAAAACTAACACACACACACACACACACACACACACACACACACACACACACACACACAAACACACACGAACGTTCGTGAAATAGTGCCCAGATTTATTTTCCCGAACGTTCGGAGAAATAGTGTCGGCCTTAATTTTATGACTGCTCTCCCTTGTATCAAATTTATTTGAGTTATTTCCCTTCCCTTTTCCGTTCGCTGATTGGCTGAACGTTTTCTTCTGTTTCAAACTCAAGACAAGCGGTTGAGGAAAAAGCAAAGCATGTAATGTAAACAGTGGACGAAGGATGAATTTTACATTTATTTGTACATAAAAGTTTAAGTCATTAAGTGAAACGTAAACACAAGGATATTTTACATTTGTTTCCGCTCTACCTGAGAAGACTTCAAAATGACACTGGGAAAGAACAAGGTATGTAAACAGGCTTGCCCACCCAAGCCGGCCCAAGTCCACCAAGGGCCCAAGGCCCAATCAAGGTTTTTCCCGAGTTTGCCCAGTCCCGGCAGTTGTTAGAGGATATTCAGTTGATTTATGTTGTTACAATGTTCGTCCGCATTTGTTGAAGTTGTAGTCTAGCCACCATGACATTTTCTTAACGGAGGACCTGGGATTTTATGTGGCCAAGGAGAGTGGGCTCGTCATATGATGTGAGATTGTTGAAACTCAGTCCTTGTGATTGTGGAGGCAGAGCCTCATCGCAGCACTCCAAGGAGTTGGAAGAGGATATCCTCGCCAGTGAGTCGTGTGACTTGTATTCTGACCAATGCTGAGCAAAATATGTCCATTCTTCGCTTGTCCCAGATGTAGAGACGACTGGGCGCTTCACTGCTCCGCTTTGATCCCTGTGGCTGTGGGCGCTGTCGTAAGGACCGCCCGGGTCATGGTGGCTGGGTGAGGGGTTCTCTCGTGCATGTCGAGTTTCAGGAGAACTTCGGGGGCTGTGGTTGAGGGTCATGCAACATTGATGTCAGTCATTTTGACTTGTATAAATGAAGTCTTTGTTCCAAATTTATTAGCCTAGATCTAGATTCTAGATTGAAAGTGGCTATTCTCACCCGCCCGGAAGTTCTCGCAAGATCAACTCCTCCCCTCTTCTTTCTCTCTCTGTCTCTTTCTGAATACTGTCTATCGGTGTGGACTATCAAATTGACCAAAACAAATTTAAAAAATGATGTTAAAACACAAAAGTAAATTAATTTGGTTGTCTACAAAGATGCTACGGCTATTTAACTTTTCGAATCGAGCCGAACTACGCGGGTCGCCATTTTGTTTTGCCTACTCCTCTCTCTCTCTTTCTCTCTCTCTCTCCACTGCCCACAAACAAAATTGTACGCTTTTAGTAGGCTACAGTTGTAATAGAACGTTTGTTCACGGCACAGAATTCTACAATTTTTCCTCACAGTGTAGAATTCTATGGTTAATGGTGAACGCAAAATTTGGTGAACGCGCACCGGGTGAGAATAGCCACAAGACTCGCCTGCACTATTCTCACTCCGGGTGAGAATAGAGGTGGGTGGCCTTCTAGATTATGTCAATGTCTTTTATTACAATTATAATATAAAATACAAAGTAAAGTCACTCTTTGATTCAGGTAGGGCCTACCTGTGAACACACGAACAAACAGATACTTGAGGACACACGAATTACGAATGCGGACGAACTTATACGTACAACATAAATCAACTGAATATCCTCTGGACTCTAGATCTGATCTAGATAATAGTTGTGACTGGCGCAGGCCCAGCGTTGCGTATAAAATTTAAATTACAAATTTTTATTTGAAATAGAGTATTAAAACTCAATCATTCATCAGATCTACAACACTGATCACAGACCCACTGAGGCAGACTGGGAGGAGGACATGGATACAACCCCCCCCCCCCCCCGACCACAAAAGGTCACCTTTTTTTCTCACCCCTGGTGAGAATAACCCATGTCTCACTATTTTCACCCCGCCCCCCAGTGAGAATAGCTCCCACCCCAGTGTGGGCATGAGACGAGGACTCCCCTCCCCCCCGACCTCACAGGCCGATAAAATCACCTCCCCCCGACCTCTCACAGGCCGATAAAATCACCTAGGCCCTTGGTGGATTACCGCATGTGGTTGGGAACGAATAATAATAATGTAGAAACATTTTTCGCCTCTCCAGTAAAAAAAAAAGACTCACTACAGACACTGAGCGTATGTGGGACCATTCGTTGTTTACACACTTAACGATGGCTGGCCTCTCTGCACACAATACATTATTATATTGGTTCAAGGAACAGGGAGCCTGTACGAACGTAATGGGACACGAGCACGAGACCATGTTTTTGCACGACGGTTGAAGGGTTGTAAATTATTCAGACCAAATGGACGAGGACGTGAAATCGTATGATTTTAAGCAATCCAAGCTCTTTTCTTCACTTTCTTTTTTTTTTTCTTCTTCTTTCTTTTTCTTTTTTTTTCTTCTTGCCTCTTCTGTCCCCTTCTTCTTCAGCATTTGGAGTTCAGAGCCAAAAAAGAGCCAGAGAGCCAAATGAAATTCTCTGCGCCAGACGCGATCCAAAAGAGCCAAATTTCTGGGATTTGGCTCCAATTTGACAACCCTGACTGTGACTAAATCTAGTGTATGTCTATTCGGACACCAACACAATCCTGTAGAGCATTAGCCCCGCTAACCTCAGCCCCAATCTCTCTTGGGTCATTTCCGGTAAAACGAGGGAGGGTGTGAGAATAGCGAAACATAGGTTATAATTCTCACCTGGGGTGAGATCACATATTATTATATATATGTGCGTTGGACCATGCCCTCTTGTTTTAAAATTATTTTAAGCCTAAAACTGGCCCCCTCCCACCAATAAAAACAAACAAAACTCACCCAGTTACATAATAATAATAATAAATGAATTTATAACGCGCCAGAATCCACAAAAAGTGCGCTTACAAAACACACACACACACAATTTTTAAGCTCTAAAGCTCAGTACTACTACCGGTGCATTAATTTTTTTTAAAGATGACAGATATTTCAGATTATATAATATTATAAAGTTCCACATTTTTTAAAATGAACATCTCTTTCGGTTTTAAAATTGTTTCTGAAAGTGGTAAGCTTGGTTATCATCATTGAAATTATATTATTTGTTAGAAATAATTTTTACATTTTTTTACCATTATTATTGTCATCTTTATTTCAGGGAGAATCTGCCAAATCTTTGGTGGCACCATTTGATGAGTTGATGCGAAAAGCAAAAGTGCTGCAGTCAGGATGTGAAGCAGGTTTGTTTTTTTATAAATTGATGCATGGGAAGTATGGACTGATGCATGAGACTGCTTTCAGAATAATTTTTATGAGGAGCTTTTTTTTTTTTTTTTTTCCAACTTTACTTACTCTGATTAGAGTTGCTGCAGCTGTGGCAATAGTTGTCTTACACCTGACATTATTTAGTAAAATACGATCTTTATTTTCAACAAGGTGTGAAATCTTATGAACTCAAATTTGAAATTCGAAAAAAAAAAAAGAAGCCTTTTATTACTTAATTCATGACAGGACTGTAATGGTAGATTGTTAGCGGCTTTGTTGATGTTTGTTTATCAAATTGACCTTCCTCAAATTTTATGTATTGCAGAATTCAAAATATTCACTGTCAACCAAGATGAAAACCGTGTGAAATGGCTGAATTCTGAACAGAAGAATGAAAGTATGGAGGACAAATTGAAGAGGCTTGAGGCTCAGGCTGCCACCCTAGAGACTCAGCTAAAGCATGCCAGGTAAGATTCTGATATTGTCAACCATGCAGCGCTGCCCACCATTACGTATTTGGCAGAACAGTTTTTTTTTTTTCTTTTTCAATTTTACAAGAACCATAACACCTCGATTTTGAATTTTTCAAAATCTGATTTGTCATTTGGCTACCCCAACTCAAGCCCACCTTCTCAGAGTATACGGAAGAGAACCAATCAGAACCCGACGCTCTACATTTCTTTGTTGCATGCAGCTGTCTAACTTATAAATAACTCTCTGTGCATAGAACCCATTTGGTGACTCCATACCGCTTTGTCCTTAAAAAGACATGGATTGTGCCTTACCTTGACGAGAAGAGATGTTAAAAAATCCTTTTTGCTTTTATGCTGTGGGTGACCGCACAGGCCAATAAGAGAATTAAAAAATCAGATCTTTGTATGAAACTTGAAATTGTCAGCTGCGACACGCTGCATGATCTGTAGTATAGTGATACACGGTCTGGATCAAAAGTGTGTACTGTTGTTCTGATTCTTTTGTTTTATGAAATTGAAGCTCACTGCCAATGAATAACTCCCCACACTCCCTTTTTTCCCCATAACGCGACGACGACGAGCCAATCAAGATCTCTTTCGTCACACCTTTGTGTTTATGTTACATTCCGGACGGTTGTCAACAATCACACAGTGTTTGACAAGCTCAAAGTTTCTTTCCACATACAATAAAGTGGGTCAAAATAATGACTGTGCATAAGGTTCCCATGAAACAATTCTTATGATTATGACATCTCAATTTTTATTCCGTTTTCAGGCTTTAGATATTAAAAATAAATGTGAAAATTGATTTGTCAAGTATGTTTTTTTAAAAAATCTTTGCAGACTCCAAGCGGAATATGAATTACAAAGAAGAAAAACTGCAGAGAAAGAGAAGGATGATATGGTAAAGGATTTGCTTTTATTCTTTTTTGCTAAAATTGTATGAAATTGAAAGATAAAGCAACATTTTGTGTTCGCAATTAGAGTAAAATTATGTTTTAAAGACTCAGAGGAGACCTCTTCTCTGTACTCTTACTACAGTATAGAATTTGAACTAGAGTCTACCCATGTTTGTATACTGAGTTAGACATTGAGAGCAGATCAGATGCAGAAATTAATAGCTGTAAGTGTTATGTGCCATTTCTATGACAACCTTTGTTACTTTGTAACTGATATAATTCCTTGAGTTGCATGAATGTTCATGTTCTAGCATTTTTCCCCCAGCCTTTATTTTTCTCTCACTATATATATATTGTTAAATGTTTTATGTGAGTGCAAGAATGTTTGTAATATGTATACATTAACTTTTTTTCATAGCTTTTTGTTTGTAAATCTTTAAAGATTTGGTATGAAATGTATTCCACTGTAAAATTCATAAAAATACTGTTTTAAAAAAACTTTTTTACATAACTTTTTGTTTGTAAATGTTTAAAGATTTGATGTAAAATGTATTCCACTGTAAAATTCATGAAAATACTTTGTTTTCCAGGATCGTCAAATTGGTGTAATAAGAGAGCTTCTTGTTGACAAGAACAGCAAGAGCATTATCCATGAGAATGACAGGGAGCGACTGGCAGCTTTTACCAGTAACCAACGTCTAAGCACACAGAACGACATGAGCAATACCAGGTAATGGACGAAAAAGCTGAGTCTTTAACAGTTACTGGGGCTCTCAAAGTTCCAGTGCATTCATCTTTTCCTGCTTCTTGATTGCATCACACTTGATGTCTAGTATCTATCATATGTACTGGGCCGTCCTGCTCAGTTCCTCTGTTGGCCCCCATTGCTTCTTTGTGCATTCAGATTCAGATGGAATCAGAGGTTTCTTTACTAAATGTTGACTGTCAGTTTATTGCCATGACTGCTTCAACCCTATCCGCACTCCCTGGGGTCATTTTGTACCCCGGGGTTGTATTGTTCAACATTTTAGAATACTTTTAGTACGAAGATCTCTGTGAAACTTTCAGTATTTCTCAAAAAATCATTTTGACAGACTGCTATGCAAAGCGTACAGATTGGATTCACGAGTAAGTTTCCTCTTTGGAAAGGAGTGGCACAGAGTTACCCACGTCGTATGGATACGATAGTAAAACACAACGTAAGGATATGGTTAGATGAAGATTTTGCTAGTTAACTGATCTTTTGGTTTCTCTGACAGGTCATTGATCTTATGGCTTTTTTTTCTTTTTTTCAGACTAAACACTATCATGGAGCGGTCTGCATCCTTCCTGTCGGATGTTAGCTTTGACAAGACGGAGGAAGACCCGTTGAGCGACTCTCGGCTCCGCAGTGGCAGGAAGTGGAAGCGCCCCTCGGCACCACTTCCTCCTGAAGAGGAAGAGAACACACCACCAAAGCGGAATCGGAATGAAACCGTGAGTTCTGATGGGGGGATCTGTTAGTGTGTGACTCATCATTTGTGACATAAGAGGTAGCCATGCACTTATTTTATACCCATTTTCTTTGGAGGGGTGGGATGGGGGTAGTGAAGCCTTCAGGTTTGTTTTAAAAACTTTCCTTTATCTGCAAGATGTTCTGTTCCTGATTCTTAGAAAGTGATTTCCAGTTATTCTTTCATTATTGAGAGTCAGGTTTGATTTGTCATGGACTATAATGTGTCCCCCCCCCCCCCCCCCCCCCACACACACACACACACACATTTACGGATAGAATTAACTCTTGAAGTTTTGGAAAGTTAAATTCAACTGTCCTTTAGAACAGTGTTCATTGAATAACTCTTCCCTGTGCTTTCTTTCCTGTCCTTCCTTGGACACCTCACTGTATTTTGTCTATGCTGTAACGCATGGAAACAGAATATTCGTGAAGCCAAAGGGATCTACATTCTCTATATAGTTCATGTTGCCGTCTTTTCCAGGGTCCCAATGACTCAGTCGTGACTGCTACCATTACAATCGACACTGCAGGGAAACCTAGTGCCACCGTGGAGACCAGTGTCCCCAAGCTGAACAAAAGCTTCAGTGAACCGTCTCTGGATAAACGTAATGGTAAGAGCAAAGAGCAGAGCTTTTGGCTCAGTTCAGATTTTATCACTCGGTGTTATGCTTACGCTGCTGGTTACCTGATGAAACAGGTTTATTGTTACGACTGACGCATCAAGGAGATTTGGTTGGGGGGTTTTTTCTGTAACCTCAGAAAGTGAAATTGTTGAGTTCCTATTGTGGTCGTTATGACACTATTACTGTGGGTGGTTGGTGGGTGCTCTGGTGTGGTTTGCTTCTTCTTTCCTCTCAAACATCTATCGTCCTTATCTCCCCTTCTTCTTTTTTATGTTTGTTACTCTCTTTTAACACCTCTAATCTTCTGGCGCTCCTGACTTTATGCAGTTGCGAGCGTCGTAAAGCCTCTACTAAAACTATAACACTTTTACTTGGAATAGGGCTAATGCCCTCAGGATGTTCCGATGGTTTCCTTTTTATTTTTATTCTTTTCTTCTCTTCTTTTTCCTTCTTTTGTGTGTGTGTGTTGCATTGTCAGTTTCATTCAGTAGTTAACTGCAAGAAAATTTGCAATGTTGAGAATTCATTTTCTGCAAGCAAAACTACCATTTTTCAAATCATGTAATCCTCTCTGTTTATTTAAATATCACTGTGAGTTTCATGGTTGAAGCAAATGCCAGTGTTTTTGATACCTTACTGTCTTCACTCGCTGATATTTTTTTTCAGGTTATTTTTATGGATGTAAATGTGAGGCAGCGTGGAGGAATCAGGCTCTCGTCAATTTTTGGGCAAATATCATCTTAAAGCTTGTTCAATTGTCTTTATTTGTATGAAAAAAATATCCGTTTATCTTAAATACAAGTTGAGATATTTGAGAATGAAGGAGGTGGGAGTTACCTGTTTTGAGAGGTAAAATTAGTGAAAAAATGGCCGCCAAAGATTCGTTATTTCCTAAGCTTAAGGGTGCGTGGTAACTGAAAATTTACATCTTTTGTGTCTTTAATCAACGTTTTTCAGAAAAATCCACACAGAAATCAGTTTTTTAATGGGCATCAAAGGCGTTGAGCCAAAAAACAAAAATTTGATAAAAATCCACAAACCTGCGGAAAAATGCAAGTTTCTTCACTTTGATTATTTTGACAAGAGCCTGATTCCACCATGCTCCCTCACAAATGGTTGTGATGAAATTGTGATCCTACTCTTTTGTGAACATCTCTTCATTTTGTGTTATGGTATGTTTTTCAGACAGTGGAGACAGTGATGACGAGGCATTTGGTTTTCAGCGTAATTTCAACGCCAACAACAGGAACTCGAGTGCTAAGCCAAGGAAAAGCATTCTAAAGAGCACACCAGAGTATGTATTCATTTCCGATTTTAAATATTTTTCACATTATTTGTGTTAGCTAAATTCTTGAAAGTTCAAATGTATTGTGCTGGCTGAAGGGAGATATATTCATTGCTTTTGCTTGATAATTACAGACTTGTGTAACTATTACTATATCTGCTTTGGAGTTTAATGGTGGGTGGTTGGCGGGTGCTCTGGTGTGGTTTTCTCCTTCTTTCCTATCAAACATCTATCATCCTTATCTCCCTTTTTTGTTTTTTATGTTTGTTATTCTCTTGTAACACCTCTAATCTTCTTGCGCTCATATGACCTTATTTAGTTGCGAGCGCCCGAAAACCTCTACTAAAACATATACTAAAACAAGGAGTTTAATGATGGACTTGCAGGGTTTTTTTTCTTTGATAAAAGCCTCATGATCTGACTGAAGTGGTGGGTTGCAAGCATTTATGCATATTTTTATGCTTTGAGTTCTCTGAACAAGCATTGTGTTCCCAGATTTCTATCCAGTTCGACGAACAAGGAGAGAGTTTTAACTTTACCCCTCGTTGTAAAATGTTTTCTCAAAAAAATGTGTTTCTGGTGCGTATAGACAATAACATTTGATTGCCTTTACCCCCCGGGGCAGTGCCACACTGTAGTGCCTTTAGGCCATTCCCAAGGGGGGACATTTCTCGTTCATGCACAGTAGAATTGAATATGGGCTGATTCATCAGTGTCATGCTCATAACTGCCTGATCTACAACAGGGAGCTGTTGCTTTTTCTTTCCTAATCTTTACTATTGTCATTTTCCTCTACTTCTTTTGTATGCTCGTCACACTCTTGTGACCCGCTATTTCCAGGGTGCCTTGATAGTCTAAACAGACTTTGTGCTGTTGAAGCTTGAGAGGTGAGCAGAGTAAGTCTGATTCCCTGTAAGGACTTCTCTGTTGACATCCACCCCTTGGCGCCCATATGACTTTATGCAGTTGCGAGCACCGAAAAACCTCTACTAAAACAAAAAACTAACTGATTGCCTTTGTCCTTTGTTCAGGACCCCAATGTTGAGGAAAGCTAACTCTGCTGGTCGGGGATTAAACAGGGTGCACATATTTATTTCCAAGACGGTCATCAAACCTGAGACTTGTGTGCCGGTGAGTGATTGTTGTACATTCGGGGTGTGCAGGGTGTGCACTCATGCTGATCTAGAATAGGTGTGGTTGTGAATCTGTCTTCCTTTGCAGGTTTTTGCATGGTGAACTACTGAATAGTGTGGGTGGTTGGCGGGTGCTCTGGTGTGGTTTACTTCTTCTTTCCTATTAAAAAATCTATGGTCTTTGTCTCCCCTCCTTGTATTTTGTGTTAGTTACTCTCTTGTAACACTTCTAATCTTCGACACTTATGACCTTATTGTGTTGCAAGTGCTGTAACACTCTTACTAAATCTTTAAAAAACCCAACTGAATAGCTTTCCTGACTGTAATACTGATGTAATAATACTGCCGTCACATTGACATTGTGTTTAGAAATATTGTCATTCAGCATTTGAAACCTGTGTCCCCCAGATGTGGTCTGTATCCTTTTTTTTTTTCTTTTTTTTTTCCAGATTTTATTTGTCTTTTGCTGAAATGGGGTCATTTTCAGGTGGACTTACTAATTGGGACTCAACAATTTTATTGAGGAATATCTTTGCCATAATGTAACTTGGTAATTCTGTTCACTTATCTTTCTCTACAACTATTTTTGTCCAGGTATGTTCTTTAGGTTTCTTTGACTGTACTTTGCTGCTAACCAGTGCGTAGCAAAAAAAACTTATTTAGGATTGCCTGGTAATAATGAAAATGAAACCCATAAGCAAATTGGAGAGACTTAACAAACTTTTCTGACATTATTGTTGCTGGGCTGCTTTTAATAGATTGAAGCTATTGAATGCTATAAAATGTGTGTAATACAGGATGCCCACTACTGCTGGATTGGGCTGACTCGGGCGCCTGAAACTGATGACAAACACGTTTGTTTTTGAGGCGATCGAGTCAGGCAATCGGCTCGATCGGCGGATCCCATCCGTAGTGGGCACCACGTATAAAGGGTTTGGAGTGGGGTTGTGATAAGACACAAACTTTATTGATTCACGGCCGATGCCCACCATCTTGACTTGGTGTGCAAGTTGGTAAGTTGAAAAGTTGGTATCTATCACTGTAACATGATTTCCCTCCTGCCTGACGTACTCTTCCCTTAGTTTCTGAAATGGTAGTTGGTACAGAACCTGTGGCTGGACATGGTTAACCTTGTTTCCCAGTTGTATTGTATTTTATCTCGAGTTATTGATGACGACCTTTTAACCAACTTTGTTTTTTTCAGTGTGGCAAGAGGATTCGCTTCGGCAAGTTTGCAATGAAATGCAAAGGTATGTAAGAAAAATAGGGAAAGAACGGAGATGTTATGGTTTATAGAACTAATATTGAGAGATAATGGATGTGGGGAAATGTAGAAGAATCTTACTACAACCAAAATGTTAATGTTAAGTTACATTGGGACGCATAAGGGATTATAAAGGAGGGTTAATTGTAAGCATCTTTCCACAAACGTCTCTGTTCTTCTTCTCTTCTTCTCGATCGCATCAAAACGTCTCTATCATTTTAAAAAGAAAAGTTTTGAGAAAAGAAAGATCAGAACCATGGTTTTGGTGTTTGTCATCTTTCAATAAATAAAAACTAGTAAGGAAATTAAATTCAGAAACAAAATGAAACTTCATTGCCTCTTTTTTTTTGGAACAAGTTTATCTGGAAACCCCAGGGCAATTGTGGAGTGTTGCTGACAAGATGTAAGTGTGTGTGAGGACAAGCAGTAGAGAAGGAAAAAAATGTGGGACTGCATGTACCTGATTTTATTTGGTTTTGTAAAGTTAATACCCAGGTGTAACTGTTTTCATGGTTAATGATAGAAGTCACTTTTTCTTGCGATAATAGAAAAATTGCTAGAAATGTTTTACATTTGCTTGTGCTGACTGCCTATGCAGACGAAAAAAGTAAAAGGTCAATTCAGAATAAATGGCTAGTTCTTTCACTCATCTGTGAGAATTTGCACTACAAAGACAAATGCTATCGTTTTTTTTAAATTATCATTATTATTATTACATTATTATTATGAAGATGATTTTCATTATTAATACTATTATTACTGTGTTATTATTATTTTATTATTATTATCTGTTTACACTGCATCAAAAATGTAGTTTCTACAGCCTTCTACCATAACCATGTGAGTTGTGAGCTCAATGGGAGAGGTCGGCTACAGCAGGCTTTGTACTTGACCTTTCTCTCATTCTCTCGTCTGTCCAGACTGCCGGGCAGTGTGCCACCCAGAGTGCAAGGATCGCCTTCCGTTGCCGTGTATCCCATCCTGCCCTAGCACGCCGGGGGTGAACAAGCTGTGTGAGGTGAGATAACCCAGCTAGTTTGTTTGTTTTTTGTTTTTTTATACGGCGCTCGCAACTGCATACGGTCATATGAGCGCGCCGGACACATTAAACATTTTCAGTTGTTAGGAAATTTTTGAATTTTGCACGGCTGGCGGCCGAAGCCTATTCTTATTGATTTTAGAAGCATTGTTTGATGCATGGCCTTCTCTGTTGGATTAACCTTATCCATACATTGTGTTTTACTACTATCGTATCCATACGACGTGGGGAACTCTGTGCCACCACTTTCCAAAGAGGAAATTTACTCGTTAATCTGATTCGTACGCTTTGCATAGCAGTCTGACAAAATAATTTTTTGAGAAATACTGAAAGTTTCAAAGAGATCTTCGTACTAGAAGTATTCTAAAATGTGAAGAATACAACCCCGGGGGTACTAAATGACCCCAGGGCGTACGGATAGGGTTAAAGATTCATGCTGTGTGATGAAGGTGAATAATGTGTGTATTATGCTGTGAATGAGAAAAGCGTTTACAACGTGAGAAAAGAGTGTGTGGTTTGGTTTGAAATTTTTTCTCTGTCCGAGCTGGAAGTTCTCGTAACTAATGAGTAAGAGATGCTGATTGATGATGTTGGGTTTTAAAAAATTCCCTGTACATGTTTGTTCCTTGGATTGATTGGGACTTTCTTAGGTGTATCTGTCCGTCTGTTCTTTTCAGTTTTGAAAAAAGATTGTACTTTGTAATTGTTTACTGTACACCAAGAGTTCCTTGCTTTTTTCTTTTTTAAGAAAATCACTGTAAATGCTATTGAGTATTCAGAGATGCTGGTAACCTGTTATGTAGCTTTAGGGTAGCATTACCACTGATTTATCATATGCTTTCTTTTTCCAGGGTCTTATTTCAGATTTTGCTCCTGTTGAGAGGCCCATGATTCCCAGACTGATTGTAAGTTTTGTCTCTTATTATTTTTTTGAATAAGAAATGTTAGGCTCTTTGCATGATCTAAATTAAGTCTCTGGTTTCAAATGTAAGAGAGTATACTGATTATTCGATAATGATAGTTGGTGCAATAGGAACGTAGTCAGGTTAGGGATTTGCTGCACTGAGGTAGATTTTGAATAGAAAAAAAATAGTGACCAGGACCATCACAATCAAGAATAAGGTCCTTTCTGAATAAGGAATACTGGAAAATGTTTTGGAATGCATACAAAATGAATGCATGTTTTGTTGTGACTTGATGAATTGCTTATGGCCGCAAACTGTCCTCAGGTGAACTGTGCTAATGAAGTGGAGCTGAGAGGGCTTGATGAAGTGGGCATTTACAGAGTCCCAGGGTGAGTCCTTTTGCTGTGCTTGGAGATTAAGGTTTCAGACTTGTGCCAGGGCTGTCCTTTCCCCATGTCTATTATGTCTGTTTGCCTGACTTAAGTCATGTATTTGAATTGTGATCGAGGATACTTTGTTCCTATTGGCTTTTTTAGTCTACCTTCCTGAAGCATACATGGTGACCAGAAGGGTGCCAGTGATTGGTCCCGTTTAACTCTTGACTGGCCTGCTCGTGTTTCCCTTTCTCTTTTTCCCCCCCCCCAACATTTAATGACCTAAATAATGTAGATGTGCTTCTCTTTGATTCAGACCATTAGAAGTAGGTTGACTTACATATTAGTGTTCTAAGATGCCATTTCATATTGTTTATCTCAGTAAAATGTGATAGCCATGAACAAAAATGTCCATCTGTTTTTGTCCGTGGGCTAAAACAGCGTTATTGTGTCGATGTGCTTCTTTTTGCCACAAACTTATCGAAATTCAAAGATCTAACTGGAGAGTTGTCTGTGGTGAAAACTAGGTTTGTCAATCTATTATGGTGCTGTTTACTTAAAGCAATTGTTTTAGATGTCTATTTGATGAACATGGGTAACTGGAGATGAGGTGGGTGGTTGGCGGGTGCTCTGGTGTGGTTTGCCGCTTCTTTCCTATCAAACATGTATCGTTTTTATCTCCCCTCCTTCTTTTTTGTGTTTGTAACTCTCCTGTAACACCTCTAATCTTCGGCACTTATATGACCTTGCTGTGTTGCAAGTGCCGTTAATCATGTGCTAAAAAAAGGAGACGAGAGAGCTTTTCTTTATTGCTTCTAATTTTGTCATCAGATCTGACAAGGACCAGAAGGAGCTGAAAGAGAAGTTCCTCAAAGGAAGATATCCAAATCTGGTAGGTGCTGCTTAAGATCACCTGTCGTGGTAAAACTGTATCAGTTGCTTTTCATTAACTTCTTTGCTTTTAAAATAAATCTCTTAATAGATTCATGAGTAAATTTGATTTTGTAACTAGACATACCGTATTTGAACAAAATATCTCATGTGATCTGAACTATTTATCCTTTTGTGTGCACTTCAATGATTTTTTTTTTGCTTTCTTGTGACCTTACAGAGTCAAGGTGGCTCCCTTTTGTTATTGAAAATTATAAGATGATACATTGTCGCGACCGCAGTGCTTTCTTGTCGTATCTCCATTTTTTTAAACAGTGAAAACAGTTCATAACAAAGAGTGAGCTTAAGAAGAAGTCACATTTTCACTGTTGAAAACAATGGAGAAACGTCAAGAAAACACTGAGGTTGAGATGTGTCCAGAAATGATACGGAGAATCTCTTAGTATACTAAAGCAAAAGGGTAAACTTTACAAAATTCCCTGTGGGTGGTTGGTTTGTGCTCTTGTATGGTTTCCTCCTTTTTTTCCTGTAAAAAATCTATCGTCTCTCTCTCCACTCCTTCTTTTTTGTGTTTGTCACTCTCTTGTAACACCTCTAATCTTCGGCACTTGTATGACCCCATTGTGTTGCAAGTGTCGTAAAACACTGACTTACTAAAACTAAAGACAAAATTCCCTGGCTGTGTTACATGCTAATGATTTCCTCCATGCGTCTGCGCCCCACAGTCCAACCTCAATGACATCCACGTCATATGCGGGTGCCTGAAAGATTTCCTGAGGGGCTTGAAGGAACCTCTCATTACTTACAACCTGTGGCCAAGTTTTGTTGCAACCAACGGTAAGCGATGTGGGTCTAGCAGGCTTGCCAACCTTCCTGAATTTTTCAGGAAATTCCAGAATTGCCATTGTCGCGCGATGTCTCCCCCCCCTAAAAATTATTTTTTTCCTAGAAAAGGCATAGAAATGCTGAGGACAAAGGAATATGTGTAGTAGCTGTACTGTTACCTTCTCCTCATCTCTCTCAGTTTCTCCGCTGGTTTGTTTGAGCTGTTTTTGTGGTATGGGTGATTTTTTAAAAGTAGCCTATCACAGAAGTGTGTGTCCGTGGCGCTCAGGAGCAATCAAAATTCCAGAATTCAGTATCTCAAAAAAAAGTTGGCAAGCCTGGTCTAAACTGGTGTGAGAGTGGGTCCCTGCCGGTGGTACTGTGCAGGCATTTGTGTTGGGAAATGTTACAAGAGCTGGCAAGGGGATGTCATCAGTGAGAAAACAAACAAACATGGTTTGGCTTTACCCAAAAATTTGTAATCAGTTAATCAGGCCGAAGGATGGCCGCTAGATGGGAAAAGTAATGGAAAGTAAAGTTAACAGTTAAGACTTTACTGTAGGAAAACTTTTTTATAAAGCCGTATTTAAATGATGCATTTTATTTGGTTATGTTCTATGATCTACTGTTTTCACACACATACACACACACACACATACCCACCCTCCCCCCATTGGAAGCCATTTAAATCAGCCGGAAGATTCATTCCGAGGTGTTGCAGCCAATTTTATCAGCCATAATTTGTGTCGCTACTTTGGTTTGTATATCCTGGGGTTTTTTTTTATATCATCGCACATTTTAACTCTTTCACAAATGAGCTCTACTTTCTATTAAATTGGCATTCTACTTTCTGAAAATAAATAAGTTTATAGCTTTTACTCACTTGGTTTCCCTGATCTTGAACATTTTCCAACATAATATGGTGACATCCTATAATTTCCTCTTGACACCGCAGGCCCTTTGTAAGTAACAGTTGGAGGGTTAACGAAAGTCTTACTGGCTTTTGTTATTTAGGTTTGTTTTTTAGTAAGAGTTTTATGGCACTTGCAACACAATAAGATCATAGAAGCGCTGAAGATTAGAGGTGTTACAAGAGAGTAACAAACACGAAAAAGAAGGTGGAATGATAAGGACGATTGATGTTTGACTGGAAAGAAAAAGCAAACCACACCAGAGCACCTGCCAACCAACCACTTTGTTATTTGTGAATTGTTTCAAGGAGTGTGTGTGAGTGGGTGATTGGCGGGTGCTGTGGTGTGGTTTGCTTTTTCTTTCCTCTCAAACATCTATCGTCCTTATCTCCCCTTCTTCTTTTTTACGTCTGTTACTCTCTTGTAACACCTCTAATCCTCTGGCGCTCATATGACCTTATGCAGTTGCGAGCGCTGTAAAACCTCTACTAAAACTAAAAACTAAACAAATTCCTGTTCCACTGCTATATTGATTGTTCTGGTTTCGTGTATGGCTGTACTTTCTTTGTTGTAGCATTGTAATGGCTCAGTTAGTGGTTGGCGGGTGCTCTGGTGTGGTTTGCTTTTTCTTTCCTATCAATCATCTATTGTCCTGATCTCTCCTCCTTCTTTTTTTTTGTTTTGTTTGTTACTCTCTTATATCACGTCTAATCTTCTGCACTTATATGACCTTATTGTGTTGCAAGTGCCGTAAAACACTTACTAAAACTAAACTGAAATGGCTCAATAGTTGGTGTTATTTTTTTTTCTTAAGCAATTACTACGAGACAACTTTTGAAAAATAAACTAAACCTCTTTCCTCTTATGGAATTATAGTGTGCGGCAGAGATGGGTGGTTGGCTGGTGCTCTGGTGTAGTTTGCTCCTTCTTTCCTATCAAACGTCTATCGTCCTGATCTCTCCTCCTTTGTTGTGTTTGTTACTCTCTTGTAAGACCTCTAATCTTCGGCACTTATATGACCTTATTGTGTTGCAAGTGCCGTAAAACGTTTACTAAAACTAAACTGTAATGGCTCAATAGTTGGTGTTATTTTTTAAATCCATTACTACGAAACTTTTGAAAAATGAACCAAACCTCTTTCCTCCTTATGGAAGTAAAGTGTGAGGCAGAGATGACACTTATATGACCTTATTGTGTTGCAAGTGCCATAAAACTCTTACTAAAACTAGAGATGAGTTGACTTCATTAAAAGTGGTTGGTGGATGAAATTTTTTTCTTCAGATATCCGCTCAAGAGAGAGATGTACTGAGGAGCTGTGTCGCCTTGTCAACTTGCTGCCTCAGGCAAACAGAGATACTCTGGCCTTCCTTGTACAGCATCTGCAAAAGTAAGTGGAATTATTTCTTCCCTAGTTCAAAGTTGGGGGAATATTCTCACCCTAAAGGTGAGGTAGATCTCTTGTGATTTGTAAATGAGTTCTCTGTATTCATGTCTCCACTGCACTCAGTGTTAGACTTAGTCGTATGACAATTTATAAAACTTGTGTCTGGGGGTCTTACACTAAGCAGTTGATCAGTTTGCACTAAAGATTTAATTTATGTTTAAAGTTCTGCAGTCATTACTCATAGAGCAGGTGAGGTCGAAAGAATTGCTCTAACTATGGCTGCTGTTTGGTTTTTTTTGTCTCAGTGTTGCAGGGAGCCCAGCGTGTAAGATGCCGGCCTCAAATCTGTCCAAGGTGTTTGGACCAACAGTCGTGGGCTACTCCTGCCAGGAGCCTGCCCCCATGCAGATAATGGATGAGACTCAGAAACAGAACAGGGTTAGTTTTTCCCCTGGTCACTTTCTATAACCCTCCCAGGGCGGTGCCACTGACTGAAGTGTCTTCAGGCCGTCCCCTAAGGGGGTACATTAGCTTGTTCTTATGCACAGTAGAATTGTAAATGGGCTGATTCAACAATATCATGCTCATAACTGTGCCGAACTGCAACGGGGAACTGCTGCTTTTTCTTTCCTAATCCTTACTATCGTCATTTTTCCTCTACTTCTTTTGTATGTTTGTCACACTCTTGTGACCCGCTATTTCCGGGGTGCCTTGATGGTCGAAGCAGACCTTGTGCTGTTGAAGCTAGAGAGGAGAGCAGTCTAAGTCTGATTTCCTGTAAAGACTTCTCTGTTGACACCCACCCCTTGGCGCTCATATGACCTTATGCAGTTGCGAGCGCCTTAAAACCCTCTACTATAAAAAATATGTAAAAAATTTTGGGTCAAAATGACTCTTGCCTGACATATAATGTCTTGGTTACTATCTATAGCCAGCAACTTTTAAAAGCAGAAAACCCACAAAAAAGGAGCAGATTTGTCCTGAGAAGGGATGTACCGTGTTAACATTATGGAGCTTTGCAGTTTGAAAAAGAAAAGGTTTATAATTGACTCATGTTTGCGATGAAGCTTTGTGTTTTGGAAAAATGATGGCTTAATGTGTGCTTATCCCTGCTATGAAAAGCTTTGTGGTTTTTCTATTTCTTCTTCTGTCTCATGGTTGGGGCAACCGTGGAGGCACCACTGCAGCATCTGACAACCAGCTCTCGCCATCTCTCTCTGTCCTCTGCTTTCCTCAGATTGTTACCCATCGTCTTCCCTTCCCTGTCCACTCTGTGATGTTGTCCTTCCATCTCCTTCTCTGCCTGTCTCTCTTTCTCTGCCTGTCTCTCTTTCTCTTTCCTTGTGGTTAAGCGGGGGGGAAAAGGTTCATAATTTACTTATCGTTGCTTTTTGCTAGGTCATGGAGAGGCTTTTGGACATCCCAAACGAGTTCTGGGCAGATCAGCTGAACATGGATGAGATCAGTCTGTTCCCCGCAGGAACCCCGTACACGCCGGACAGTGCTCATGCAGGTAGGTGCTACGTGTATCCTCACAGTCATATAACACGATTACCTTTCATCGCTTTTTTGTTGTTGCTGTTTTTTTGTTTTGAGAAAACTTTAAAACTTTTTTAAAAAGCAGTGCTTGCCTTGATTAACCAACCGCAGGACTCGAGTGAATGGAAATGTCTTTTTTAATTAATTGTATTTTTAGTACTCAAAATGAAACCCCGATGTTGAGGATACGAAACAAGTTGTGGACATTGTTGTGTCCCTGGCCCACCATTTCAGTTGCTGGAGACCAAGGACTTAGCACTGAGGTGGAGAGAGTGGGAGCAATCTTTAAAGGAGGAGAGCCTTTTTGACCATAAGTTTGAAAGTAAATGTTTCGTTTCATGTGCAGAATGTATTGGATGTGCGAGAAGTTGCAGATTTGAGTGGTTCTGTTGACTATGTGTACTTGCTGTATAGTGGGGTATGCACAGGGGGCTCAGTCGCTGGTCGTGTCTACCCCCCCTTTGAGACTGCTTTATTATTTCTGATCCTGCACTTTGTTTCTTTCTACATGCCGATTTGTGGGAGACACATTGGAATAAACAATACACTTCCCAACATCGTGCCCAAACTCGGTACATGAAAATCCTTCGGGCCTCTCCACAAGAGACGAAGTCATTTTTATTCAATCACATATCGGACACACCTCCCTGACAGATAAATACCTCCTTCAGGGAGACAAGAAACTGTTTCGTGTCGGATGCGACACAGTCATCTGAACAAAATGTCCAGACTTTGGAGAGACCCAAAGAAATTATTTTAAATGCAAAAATTGCAAGATCTGTTCTCCATCGTTGATCCCAACAGAATTCTTGATTTTCTAAAGTCGATTGTACCTAAACCAAGCCATGCTGTGAACTGTTGTGAATGCAACCCACTTGGGTTTCGCACGCTCATCATATGACCTTATGCAGTTGCGAGCGCTGTAAAACTCTTACTAAACTAAAACTCTTCCAAAATGTCATTGTTATGCTTACTTGCTCACATTTTCACTTTGTACAGTGAGTTTAACCCCCCCCCCCAGGCAGTGCTTCTGACTGAAGTGTGTTTAGGCCATTCCCAAGGGGGGGGGGGATGTTAACTTGTTCTTATGCACAGTAGAATTGTCATAGTAAATGGGCTGATTCATCAATGTCATGCTCATAACTGCCTGAACTGCAACAGGGAACTGCTGTAATTTTCATTCCTTGTCATTACCATCGTAATTTCCTCTATTCTTTTGTATGTTTGTCACACTCTTGTTACCCGTTATTTCCGGGGTGCCTTGATGGTGGAAGCAGACTTTACTTTGTGCTGTTGAAGCTAGAGAGGTGAGCAGACAGAGTAAGCCTGATTCCCTGTATGGACTTCTCTGTTGACATCCAC